GGAAAAATATTAAGGGAGAAAATAATGTCTCTAAATTTGTTTACACTAACTTTAACCCTTGCAATCAGATAAAATTTCTGTTCATTTTAACAAATGAGTGTTGTTTGAGTAAAGAATATAAAAATACCCCTTGTAGATGTTTCCAAGTCAATTGTAACTTTCTTCAAAGCAGTTGTAAGGGTGACTTGTTTGATTTGAGGTCTTACAGTTGGTGAAGGAATCTCTACAGGTGAATCTGAGTTCTCATTCCAACCCAAACCACTTTCATACTGGATCCCTTCTCAATTTTCCAGCTGCCTGACTTTAGAACTTCTCTTCTCTCTCAGCTCCCTTCTCTTCTTTTTGTACTCCCTGGTCTTTGACTAAGCACTAAGCTTGGATTTCTTTCTGTCTAATCTTTCTGCATACACCTTGCAATGTGTACCTGGAGATAACTGAATGTCACTCGATGCCTAGAATATAACAAAGGTACATGTAACACAAATTGGAAACAGTTTTGTTTTACATCTATTTTATCATAAATGAAATGTATAATATAATATTATGCCAGCTACCAGACTGCCAGTCTACATTTTGTTAGGTTAAAGTGGAGGTACTCAAGTTTCAGAGAGATAGGAGGGACTAGTAAGCCAAATATATTTTTCCTAAAACATACCTACCTCTGGGACATAAGAATACCAAGATTCTTTTGGCTGATGGTACAAGCCACTCTGTAGTCGTAGCTCCCGCTTGCCCCAGAGTGGCAGATCTTAGGAGCCTTGCTTCCTACAGAGTTGTTCAGCGACTCATTTGCTTGGCTTGAGCCAAGTGGGGCAAGCTGCTCAGCATTTTTTGGAAAGACCCTCTACTACTGCTTCAAGGTGTTTCTGCAGCTTTGGATATTACAGATCTTTGCCATACAGGAGTGATTTGTGTGTGTAAGTACCTGGGTCTTCGAGGAAGCTACACCAGGATAGGTCACAGTTTTAATGTTTTCCAAAACATCTAACGCTACTATGCGTCTTCCGGTCAGCAAAAAACCCTTTCCTTGTTGTTCTGTCTCCCACCACTCTCCATTATTACACTAAGCTCTTCAGAATTTCTTTTGAACTGGATACGTAGTTTTTCTCTCCTTTCATTTTATTTTCGCTGTCGAAAACAGCCCTTTTTATCTCGCGGTCTTGCGGCCGCCATCTTTAAAAGACTGCGTGACATTTCTCAATGTTTTCAATTAAGAACGTGCAGTAGAGAATGCGCAGTGCAAAACAGGGGAATGACCTTAACACGACTTTACAATATGGGAGTTACTACATCACGGGCGACAATCGAGGCAAGAAAAATGGTCTGAGATATAAGTGGCCAGCGGTGAAATAGCTTTAATTCATCATGTAGACTCAAATCATTAGTAGTTGTTGTATTCAATAATCATGGTATCAATCCTGATATGTTAAAAATAAACTTTGCTAAATAACAAATTAAGCNAAAATAATTATGTTTTTCGTTCAAACTTTTTCTTTCTATTCACTTTAACAGATGCACTCGGGATGAAAACTTAACCTTCGAATGGAACAAAAATAAAATATTTTGAACTCTAAGATGTTCTTCATAAAGTTGGCTCCATCACGTTACGATTTTGGACCCATGACGCTCCCGAATATATATTGATTGATTACCAAGAACTGTATTCGTTATCGTGGTAGATTATGGTTTATACATGGCATTAAAGTCCACTTGATCCGAAAAGAAGCCGCCCTAACTGCAGGTGAAAAATTGCGTAAGTGTTTCTGCGTAAAGCACAATGATAATAATAATAATAATAGTAGTTTATTAAACTCTCTTGCAATAACTTACTGAATTAACGAGTTATGATACAATGAAAACTTAATAAGAACGACTATGTACATATCTGTATACATTAAGTACAAGTTATGTACACCACACGGAACATACATCACATTTGTTAAAAATACTTAAAAGTTAAAAAGTCTTCGGAAACAATACTGTTTGACACCATCAAAACTTACTCATCAAGGTCATGAGAACAGGAGCCAAATATGAAAGACATTATTCTCTCTCTTTCCATTTCCACATTGTAACTTCCATTGACATCTAACCCCTCACACAAACACCGAGCAAACTGAGAACAAACAAACAAAACGTTTTATTACATTCAAAACCAGGATGTAGAGTTATATCAAAGCGGGTTTTAGCAAGTGCTTATGCTACTCACACCACAGTTATACTATCAGTCTGTGATTTAGTGGCTCAACACACGACCAAGACTTGCAGTTCCATCCCGTTTTGAGATCGGCAACAGCACTGCAGAGTCAAACAAAATGCAAAATTCCATAACTATGACTTATCTGCATGCACCTAATAAAAAGGAAAACACCGAGTAGAAATAAGTCACCTAATATCATCGATCAGTACCATCAGTTTGCTCTTAGGAACTGAGTTACTGCTCAGAATGGTGTGTACGCGCGCCCATTCATGGGATCGAATTATTTTCTGATTTTCTTCGGCCGATCCAGAACCTTTAAACCATTTTAACCCATTAATTCATAATGTCAAGTCCAGTTGAAAAGTTATAGACTTTAAGAGGGTTTATAAAAAGAGATTGTTCTTGTAATGTCCTCGCCAGAAGAGTCCAGTGATTTCCAGACTTA